TGCACTAATTAAGCTTCTGCCTCTGGCTGCAGTGTGTGCTGCTCTGCACCGTCCAGACAACATGATTTCCTGGCGAAGCAGCTTTTTAAATTTGATGAGTCTTGTTGTCATACCGAGCTATGAGACCAGTGATGTGACCAGATTAGAGAATAGTGTATTTAAAGAGGGCTGTTATGCCTTTTGGGGGGTTTAGCTTTCCTATAGTGTGTTTTATAGGTTTTTGTCAATCAATCAATCAATGTTTATTTATATAGCCCAATATCACAAATGTTACATTTGTCTCAGTGGACTTCACAGTTTGTACAGAATATCAGTATGACAACACGAAACCCTCTGTCCTTAGACCCTCACATCGTACAAGAAAACACTTCCAGAGAAAACCCACAGTTTAAAGGGGAACATGGGAGAAACCTCAGGGAGAGCAACAGAGGAGGGATCCCTCTCCCAGGACGGACAATAGATGCTGTGTGTAAATCGAAGAGATAATACATTTTGCAGCGTAGGTAGACCAAATGTTTGGAAATGTATGTGTCTATAATAAGAGGATGAATCCACGAGGATGTAGACAATCCTGTGGGAGCCTTCAGGGAAGTAGTATGATGAGAGTCAGGCCCATAGTGACAGGTTCAGGCACGACTATATAAGCTTCAAGATTCAAGGCTTTTATTGTCATTTGCACATTAGCTACAGTGTAGTTATGTCAATGAAAATATTAGCTCACAGGCTCTTCCAACAGCACAACACAATAAAACTGATAAGACAATGCAGCACATTGACTTGTAATTGAAGTGATGTAAGCCCAGGAAAGGTTTCCTTCCCCTCCTGACTTCAGGTATTTATAGACGTTATTCTTCAGGGTCTCTTTGACGCCACCAGGAAGAGCGCAGCTTCGTGCATCTGGAGAACACATTTTGGGCCTCATATGATCGGGGTTTGTTGACGTAGCCGGAGAAAGGAGGAGGGGGGTGACACTGAAAGACAAAAGATCCTCCAGAGAGCATTAAAAGGTCTTCCATCCAAAACGGACCTCTGGAGGAATGCTATCAAACCCCAAAAACACAAATAAGTCTCACTAACATGGACGTGGGAGGCCTTGTGGAGGAAGGAGAGTTGTGCTCATCATAAAGCTTCTTTTATTACGCAATGAGACAGAAACGTGATGAAATCTGAGTTATCTCATGCATCAAAGAAAAAGCCCCAAAAGCAAGCCGATGTAATTAGTCAGATGTTTGGAAAGAGACCTCGAAGCTACTAAAAGAAAGTATTTCATTAAAAACAAAATGTCTTCTTCTTCTTCATCAGGTGAAATTGTGAAGGGCTTCAAAGTTCAAAACAATACCATACGATTCATTATGTTTTCGCTCTTTAATTAGCTTTGTTTCATGTTGATTTTAGGAGACAGAGTTGTCCAATTATTATGCTATTTTGGGAATGAAAGCCTAGAAAACTGAGCCCTACTTTCTTAATCAATTTAAAGGTGTTATTTTAAAATAATCAATGAGCTTTGACATATTTTAAAAGGTATACATGTCACCAAGCAGACATGATTCCTGATTTATTGTTCTGCTTTTGTGCTAAGTGGCTACTTCCTGTAGTTGGACAAACAATTGTGTGGGAATGAAAACATGGATGGCTTCCTTAAAGAGGCCCTATTTTTGTGCTTGAACAAAACAAAAGAACCCATTTTCCAAAGAAGAAATGAGCCTTCATCAACTCAACGTCTCCATACAAATAATAATAATAACACATGCAGCTCAAAGTGCTTTACAAAATGACATGTCACAAGTTAAAAACAAACAACAAGAAATTCCCCACAGATTATTTGTTAAGAACATGCAGCGAAATATAAGATTTTATCAGGTTAATAGACACAAGGAGGTAAAATGTATGATCATAAAATAAATAAATAATGGTTTCTCTCTGACAGATAAGACACAAGTCGATGCAACAATAAAAAAATAGCAATCAAGTTTAATTATTACGCTTATATAATCCTATAAACACTTAGAATATAACCATTTAATGTCGTTATACATGTACAATGAAAGAAAGAAAAGCTTCACCCTTTTAAAAAGGTGCCAACAAAACAACAACATACGACAACAAATACACGCAGCATACATACTTATGTAAGAATAAAGTGTAATTATTTCCAGGGGTATGAAGAAAAAAATGTAATAAATAATAATAGGTATGTATTTATAATAATGATATATACGTTTATATATATACACAGTCACGTTTATTGCACATGGAGGATGATCAAGGGGTATGAGTTCAGGAGGTTAGTGCAATGATGGCTCTTGGGAAAAAACTGTCTTTGAGTCCGTTTGAATTTAACCCATAAGAACCCGGACCCATTTTACTTTTGGAAAAATGTAAGGGGAACATCATTTAGGCTAAATAGACCACCTAGCAGGGCCGTTTCTTCCTATAGGCGGACTGTGCAGATGCAGAGGGCCCCCGCAGCCACTAGGGGGCCCCCAAGCTGAAAGTTCAGGTTCAGCCTCAATATTTCTGGGGGGATTAAAGTTAGCCGTCTTTATTTGTAGACAGCCAAGCCCCCTCCTGTGTTCGGTAAAGCATTATAAAAATCAAATGTAGGATATAAACACAACTAAACTGCAATGAGAGCAAAGCTGAGGCTTGTGTTTGTGGGGATCAATAAGGTTCCAAATCACTGTTGGCTGTCAGCCAGACTGAGTGCGTCCTGAGGAAGCATGAACAAATGTATTGAACATTGTGAGAAACTGCTGCGCATTCTGCATTATTGACCGCGAAGGAGCCTTGGTTCCTTTTTCCATATCAATTTTGTGTCGCTTCTGTGTGTTAAAAAGTCGCTTGGTTTTCGTGAATTTAGCTGCTTTCCTCTTAAGTGTACCGATCCATGCATCTCGCACTCTCTTAAACGCTTCGGAACCCCCCCTTGTATTTGAAGAAGGGCCCGAACAGCTGAACGGCCCTGCCCACTCTAGACACAGATCTCTGTAATTCTGAAATGTGACATAGGGTACAAATAACTATTATTTAATACTTAGTAATGAGGGCATGTTTTTTGGGTTTTTGATGTTTGAACATCTTTGCATTGAAGAATAAGAATTATTACGAACTATAATTGAATCAGTAAATTAAAGCTGAGCACCATCTACATTTATCTATTGACTTGCATATATGTCAAGTTGTTAGGTTTAACGTCCGATTGTGTACTCATGTACGCCGATGAGTCGCGGTTTGTCTCATTTTCTTCTATCATTTGATCAAGCCATTTTTCCACAACAGGCTTATAATGTATAAAGGACTGTTATGTAGCTTCTTCCCCCCCTTTCTTAATGCTTGAATTTTCATTTAGCACAAAAACCAGCTCTTTGAAATGCTAGCTAGTTCTGTACATGTGCTGGTTGCCTGGACGCATGCGCATCCTTGGCGTTTCGTCATGGCGAGACCAAGCCACTATGCCGGCCCCATGGCCCCAACCGACTGTCAGGGCTTGTGTCACATATGGTGTTTCTCCCAATATCGAGCGCATTGTTGGTGCCCATTGTCCTCGAGGTCTTGCTTCGAAGCCGAGCAAGCAATACTTCCTGGCATTCGGAAAACGAAGCTCGGAACAGCCGAGCAAGTGTGCAAGTGTGCGTCATATGAGAGGCCCCGCCTTACATTTTCCGCCAAAGATTTGGGGAAATTGGTTTGGCGCAAAGCATTGTGGGGATTTTAAGACCGCGGTGTCTACACATGTGCAGCCTCGAAATGTCTCGCTGCGAAGTACTCCGGGCTCGGTAGAATTCCAAGTATGCTGGACATTGGAACAGTCCTTCGGCGGCACTCGATGACGTAGTATGCTTGAAATAGTGGCTCTGGAGCATCCTTCCTCGACATTGAGAAACACCCAGGGGCTTCATGAGATAAAATAAAGGCTAACGCTGAATAAAGAACTTTCCAGAACATTTAAAGGTCATGTGACACCTTATGGGATTTACACTTAAAACATTGAACCACATTTAAGGTCACATCTTGAGTTAGCACTATTTATTAGTTTAAAAAAGCCTCATGCTTGTGTTAAAAAACTTGCAATCCACTGCGTCCCAAGAGTGCAGCACTTTCTAAAGTACACACTAAAACCCCAGATGAGAATTGAGTAATCGGAGCTCTTTTTTTTCTTTACTATCACCACTAAAGCAGTATCCTGTTTTTGGCAGAACAGAGCGGTGTTTTTCCTTCAATCCCATTTAGCCACACTCGACTGAATGATGTCCCCCTTCCTGCGTTTTGTTCCCTTCATTAAAAAGCTCTAAGTGTGACAATTTTCCCGTGGCATTTAAGTATTCATTGCCAAGTGTTGAGTAATTAGAAGATGGAAGAGCAATTAGCTTTGGAGGAAGTCTGGAGAATGGAGCTTTGACCGGCAGCACAGAAAAAAAAAGATATAACATTTTGTTTGTTTAAACTGGAGAGAAGTCATGAAGTCTTTATTTCAACACCTTGTGAACACGTGTGGAAAGTTGTTAGTATAAGAAAAAGCTAATCTTTCAATGTTTCCAAATTAAATATTGCATGTGGAACACGTATTATTGTCAACTTTTTGTATGTATTTAGCTGAATCTGAACGATAGTAACAATTAAAGGGAAACATTCCTTTCTTATGGCTTTTTTTTTTTTTAAATGGAAGAGAGTCTTTAGTGTAATTTTTCCAATTTTCTCAGCTTATAAAACCCTGAATTAAAAAAATATCAGCTGAAATGCATCATTCTTTAATTGTAAAATACTTATATCCATTCTGCATCATTTGTATTTTTGAGGTTAAAGGAAAAAATCCACCTCTGACTCAGATTATTTCCATTATAAAAACTGTTTACTTCGTTATTTGTTGGTCTATAAAAATGCCCTTCACAACTTCATAGAGCGCAAAGATTATAAAATATATGTTTTTGTTTCACTAGCACACCCAGAGATATTCAGTACTGTTGCAAGACCAAACAAACCATTAACTAATCTCCATTAAGAAACTGGAACTAGTAAATGTTTGAGTTATTTTCTTCTTGGAAAGAGTCCTCAATGATTAATGGATTATGTAAATGGCTGCAGATACATGTTTTCTCTTCCTGGAGTAATTGTAATTACTCATACGATCGATTCGGCCTTTCTCCAACAGTGCAGTCCGGCAGTTTCTTTAATTACACCTTTATCTTGTCACATTTCTGAGAATTGTCAACCCCCCCCACAGGAAAATGGACACATCTTATGACTAATACTGTCGATAAAGGAGTACAGTATGTCATGTGTGTATTTAATTACATATGGTGTGTTGTACACTACACATAGCATAGATACGTTGACTCTAAGAGGTCAAAGATGGAAGAACAATATTTATCTGTATTTTTTTTCTGCCTATTTGCATTTTTTCTTGGGAGAACTTCACCTCTTAAGGGCTCTGGAAGGATTTACAAGGCCCAATTACACTTTTTTTGTGGTGTGTTACATATGTATGTTCTGCAAAGGATAAAATCCCAAAGATCGCACCGGATGGAGTTTGTCCCGCCCCTTAGCCTACGTAATAGGCCAGCTAACCAATCAGAGCAGACTGGGCTCTGGTTTCAGACAGAGGGTGAAAAGAGGTGCTGCAGCACAGGCAGTATGAGTAAAATAAAGAGCTTTTTGAACATTAAAGCATGGAGACATGTCCCAGTGGAGAAAACAAATAAGCAACTGAAAATGAGCATCCTAATGTATTTCCGCCTCAAATAAATCAATATATGACAGAAAAACTCATGTGTTGATTAAACTAGATACACAACCGAGGAAATGTGATTGCTTCATTTGAAAGTGGCTCTGACATAACTGGAAGTCTTCTTAATAACTCTTGACGCTGTAATGAAAAACAGAAATCACCAAGTAACTTGTCGCTTCATTTCACAACATACCGAACGCAGTGTCTTTATAACATACAGTGCGTTTGAGGGGAAGCATCTGGTGAGAGTTTTAGATCACAAGACAGCTGGGAACGCCGGCGAACGATCCCACAAAACTTAGTTTCCCAGAGGTCTCCTGTCAGTCACGAGCCCACACAAACCCACGGGAAGCTATTTTCTTTTTCTGTTCTTGAAAAAGCAACATTGGGAGAAGTTAAATAATGGCTTCTGGTTCCTTCCCATGTGCAGAATCACAGCGGGATAATTACACACCATATATTACAGGCGTCCCACACACTGAAGCAATGTGTATTTTCGGTATGCAACTGATCATTTCCAAACTCAACAAACAAGCAAAGTAGTTTAGTTGAAGTCAAATAAAATGGAAGTTTCACCTCCTTTAATTCACAGTTTCGGAAATAAATGGATTTCATTTTTTGCCTTATGGCAGTTTTAAGAAATGTGATAACTGTATATGGTTTTACAGAAATCATCTTAATTCTGTGGAGAGAGTTTGTGAATCGCTGATTCAAAAAGATCCCTCTAAGGCTTTCTGTTATCACCACTGCTCCCTTTGATGATAACTATCATTTGTATTAATTTTTTTTTAATCTTTGATGTGCGCTTTGAGAACAGCCTTGTTTCTGGACGCTCCTTTGCCGCAGAGAGATAAAAATGTCTCGGCCATCTGAAGTCTTTTTATCTGTAGCCCTTAGATCATAATTTCATAAGTGGAAAGTAGGGAAAGTATGGCCACGAGACGAGATGAGATAATACCACAGTAATTTAACTTGGAGTTACTTCTTTTACGAATAGCTTTGAACTGTTGGTGAAACAAGGATGATTTCATTAGTTTCATTTTAAGAAAAGAAACATAAAACAAGTGACACTGTGTTGCTACTTTGGCATGATCTGTTTTTAACCAAAACATAATTAAATTACATAAATGGACGTTTACTAAGGTGGAATTATCTCTATTTTTAGGATGTCAGGCGAATTACTCTAACGCAATCAGGCACAAGACAACATTTATTAGTCAGAGACAGGGACGCTGGTTATTTTAAGCTGTGACAGTGTTTCCCCTTGTGATCGCAAAACAAATATCCCAAATTGTTTTTCTGAAAAATAAAATACAAATAGCCTGTGGAGGATACCAGAAGCTGTGCTTTAACTGTTTTGAATAAAGAACACACATACACCAGTAGCCCTTTATCACAAACAATATTAAAACATTTGTTAGATAATCCCTGTTCCACAATCTTTTCGTCTGCAGGCGTAATTGATTTGTGTACCAGTTTGTGTGCTATACACAGGAGTAGGCTACAAGTCAAGCTAATGCTAAAAACAACTGAATTTCCAGATGTGTGACCTTGAAACCATAACATAGTTACCATCTTCTTGTAATTTGAGTGTTGTTTTTGGCTGTGTTTAAGTAGTGGAGTATAAACTGGACTGAAGACAAGGCAGTGTTCAAAGCAGTTGACTTCAACTGATTTGTCCATATATAACTTTTGTGTTTTGAGCATAATATGAGCTTAATAATAGCATTAGTCATTGCTAGAGCTATGTATCATCAACCTTAGCTTGGATGCTAGCTCGTTGTTGCTGTAGCTTGCTAAGAGTTTGTTTAGGTTTAACCTTTAGACTTTTTGACCCTCACCTCTGACATTTAGTGAAATATGTTTGTTGTTTGTTCCACCACGAGTCAATGTGAAAACTGTCTAATCTCTGTTTGTCAGCACAGACAGCCAGGACTAAAAGTTAAGAAGCTTAGCGCTGGAAGCAGGAAGAAAACGGCTTGCTTTGATATGTCATTAATAAGAGTTTCACCACCACACGGATTTTATAATTTAGTTTGTGGCAGAGGTATTCTAGAAGCTTCCCTTTGATTGCAGGCTTTGTGCTAAGCTAGGCTAACCTGGACCTCTCTGCCCTCTACACAGATAAAACAATTAATATTCTACTTTAAGTATTGGTAAATGAGGCATATTTCCTAAATTGCTAACATTTAATTGACCTGACTCTCAAGTATTCGATTTTCGAGTGAAAAGACAGCATACAGATAACCCTAAACTCACCCTATTTCATGTCAAGTAGTTTGTATTAAGTCCTCATTTACCCTCACCAAATCTGTTGGCCTGACATAGAGGGTTACACACACACGCACACGCACACGCACACACACAGGTCACACACTAGTCATTAGTGATGCAGAAGGACAACCGTTTAATTGATCCTGAGCTGCCTCCCACACACTTACTCTCGCTCACACACCTCCTAACACACACACACACACACACACACACACACACACACACACACACACACACACACACACACACACACACACACACACACACACACAAACTCTTCTGTACATCCTTGCAGCCTCAAGGCTCTCTCCCTGACTCACTCCTGAATTATGCACATGACTTAAATCAAATGTCACGCTCAATCCGTGTCCCGGAAGAGATTGTGTTGATAATTTAATGTCATTTAAGGAAATCAGATAAGAAAAAGTTGTGAGGCATTCACATCTGATGCAATATTTCTGTTCTTACTGTACATTTTAAATCAGAAGCTGTTTTAGCATTTAGCATAAGTGGATCTTTAAATAGTCAATGATTAAGGGGAGGACTATTACTTAGAGCATGTGTCTTTAGTTTGGTTTGAGTTTCCTGTTAAGGCCTTCGTTTTGTTCTAGAAGCGATTGTCTTAGCAATGGATGCTCTCCAGCGTGCTGCTCTGATTTTTCACTGTCTACTTACTGACGTATCACGGTATAATTAATGAGATCCGAGCCTCTTGTTTCCCACATGCTGAAAGTGAAACAAGGTGCAAGACAGTGTTGAATTTCTATGCTAAAGCTGTGGCTCTTTAAGTTGGTACTAAGTAGTTCATGTAACTACAGATACACACTTTTAGGTCTAGTTAGAACAAACGCAGCCTTATGTTTGAGCAGACCGAGGTTAAAGTGCTTTTTGACAGTCGTTGTTGTATACTATAGAAGTGTTTTTAATTAGCTGTATCTAACTGGATTTTCTAAAACAAATTGCGCTTCTTCTTTACCCTCCACGATCCAAAACGAAGTTAATTACAATTCATTAATCATTTAAAAGTTGAAAAGTGGTTGTCAATGTTGAGGTCATTTTAGTCAAATTGAATTTGTTAAAACCACGTGGTTGTAAAGCCATCTTTTTAAATCTATATTTAAATGTTTATCCATGACTTTAAATATCAACCAATTATCAATTACATGTTTCCTGTTTCCTGTTTATACACTATTTTAAGCTTTATATTTCTGTCGTTTAACCATCACGCTAAGATATATATTTTAACTATTTATCCATTATTTGCAGATATATATTATTACCATGTATACATTCCTTTAAGATATACATTTAAAATGCTTTTCCTTCCATTTTAGATACATGTAATATATGTTTACCAGTATTTTAGATATATATTTCAACAGTATATCCATTACTTTTATTTTCCTACAATTGATCTACTTTAAGATATATATTTCAGTTGTTTAATCACATGTTTTTTATTTTCTTTAATTTTGTTTTAGCTCTTTTGTCAAGTTAGTTGAGTGACTCGGAGTACCAGAAGTACAGAAGTACCTCCTTGAGTGTTTCTCCTTTAATCCGTTTATAGTATTTGTATTTACCTTTCCTTTTATCTCCTGTGTTTCCAGGTGGATTTGGGATTCCTAAGATTCGTCACAGCGATCGGCACACAGGGAGCGATCTCCAAAGAGACCAAGAAGCACTACTACGTCCGATCGTACAAAGTGGACCTGAGCTCCAACGGAGAGGACTGGGTCACCGTGAAGGAGGGCTCCAAGCAGAAGGTAATAATGATGAAGTCCTTTACGCTGTGCATCTAATATTGATGAGTAATGAAGGACGCTGAATTCTAATCAATGGGTAGAGAAAGTGAGGATGGCTAAATCAATGTTTTCTCCAAGGCTGACAGCTTTTGGCAGCCTCTCTAGTGTGAGCCTTGACTGAATTGAGTGCGCTGAAAGTCTCATCAAAATGCATTTATTCTGAGGAACAAGTCTGGGAGTTGTCTAAGAAGTGACATTGGTGCAGAGATAAATTGATAGCTTGCAGAGAATATGACGTACTGATAGACAAGTACATCCGACAAATCATGTCAAAGTCTCAACGTCTGTTAAAGTCCCCTTCGTGTATTGGGGTTACACATTGGGTCCAAAACGTACAAGCCACTTGAATGTCTGGGAGCAATTAATCTTATATGCTACACAAATATGGCCAGGATGTATTGAACTTTCTGAATATTGGGTTGCAGATTATAATTCTCCAAAGGGGGGTTTGTTTAGCATGAAACACTTGAAATAACTAAAGGACAAGTTAAACAAGAAAGTAGAAAGAAAGTGAGGTCAAAGAAAACTATTTCTGCTAAAAGGTTAGCAATAGCCGCTTTCACACCAAATACTTAGCCGGTACTTGTTCCCCCCGAACTCTTTAGTCCCTCGAACTGTCCTAGTAGACCGCATTCTCATCGGAATAAGTCCCAGAGGGAGGATTAGGCAAATGAAGCCGCTGACGTCACTTCTTCTTCTTCACTCGTAAACGTTGGAGTTGGGGACTGGCTTCAGAAGAAGCTGCTGGGTCGCGTCTTCCGAGTAAATCGCCAGAAGCGCCGACACCTCCTCATCACTCCACCGCTCCCATGTTTTCTTTTGTGTTGCCATAAGTTAGTCTCTCTCCGTTGGTGCGCTAGGTTAATGCTAATGCTAATGTGAGCAAATAAAATGGCGGTTTCACAAAACTTTTCGGAGTTTTACGGGCCGTGGTTTGCAATTCGCCCTGCCAATCAGAAATTGTTAGTGTGGCCGACACACCCACGAACCATTTCCTCCTCAGGAAAGTACTACCTCGCTAGGACGATCTGGGGGTGCAAATGTTTGTGCGAACTAGGGACTAGGCCCAGATCCTTTTTGGTGTGAAACCTTTATTCTTGTCCTCAGATCTTCGAGGGGAACCACAACCCGACGGATGAAGCTCGCTCTTTCCTGCCCAAACAAACTCTGGCTCGATACATCCGGGTCCGCCCCATGTCCTGGGAGCAAGGCATCTGCATGCGCTTCGAGATCTACGGCTGCAGGACGTCAGGTAACGCCAGAAAAAATAACAAACTCACAAATACTGTCCATGATGTGAGGCTCTTAGCTCCAAGTTCTACCTCTTGATGCATTGATTTATGTGTTCAATAACACATACTGTTACTGCTGGAATCATTCATGCATTTACCTTCCTAATTATCTTCCCCTGTCCCCACATGGATCATTAAAGTTTAACGTCATCTAAATCTTATCTAATCTAACACATGCAGTGTCCTCACACCCTCACACATTTTCTAATATATTACAAAGGTGATTCATGAAGATCATATCTACACACAGTAGAGACATGCACTCTCTGTATTGCATATTCATTCTGGAAGCTTTTTGGTAAACAAGAAACATATTTATTTAAATTTGCATCTCTTAAATATTCTACTGCCAAGCATCTAGTAATTTATTGTATGGAGCTGCATGCTTTTGTAAAAATGTCTTCAAGCTGAAACTGTATTAACACTCAAGGAACTTTTGCTATCATAAAAATGTCTTTTAAACCTAGTTTTACAAAACCATCTTTCTTTAACATTTTCTACAATTTTACAAACCAAAATGTTCATTTACAGACATTACATTCACAACCCTAAACCTCTGAAGCATTGTACATGTACTGTATCTTTACAAAGGGAATACAAAAAGCCATGTTAACACCTCAGGCGGAAAAAAAAAAGTTTCTTTCAGACCATACTCTCCCAAGTCCAAAACAAATCTCACACTTCTGCACATCGTAAATCAAACCAACATGTTTTTGGCTGCAGGACGAAAACCTCCCGTCGCTTTCTGTTGATTTAAAATAATCACCGCTTGTAAAGTGAGCGCAGACTCCCCCTCTGAAGGACACCGTTATTCATTACTGAGGAGCAGAGGAAAATCATTACTCATCCTCCAACATTACATAAACTTTGGTCCTTGATGCGTTACAAGCAACTCTCAGTAGGAGAGCTCCATAACGCAGATATTAGACTCTTACTCACCGGAGAACAGGCTGCTGAGTGTCAGATGGGCGATTCAGGAGATTTAATCACAGACCTGGGAAAATGTGTGTGTGAAACATAAAACATCCACTTCCAAAACACATAACCTGAAACTACATCCTCATTTAGTCCATCATTTAATCGAATTCCTTTATTTGAAGGGGTAATATTATGCTTAATGGGGTGGTCCCTTTCCTGTAGTGTGTTATATATTTTATGTGCATGTAAATGGTCTGCAAAGGCTGAAATCCTAAAAATTTCTCTCCCACACACTCCTACCTGAAACGCCTCTATTGGACTCCCTTGTTTCACTTCCTTAACATAGTGACATCACTCTGGAACACTCCTATTGGCTAGCGCTCCAACACATTGTACGTGATAGGCTAAGGGGCGGGACATCTCTAAGCAGGTTGACCTGAATCACAACAGAGCCGGCCAGCTAACCAATCAGAGCAGACTGGGCTCTGGTTTCAGACAGAGGGTGAAAAGAGGTGCTGTAGCACAGGCAGTATGAGAAAAATAAAGAGCTTTTTGAACATTAAAGCATGGAGACATGTCCCAGTAGAGACACTACATACTGATATACACCTGAACATCAGCAGGAGAGGACTCTTTAAAGTAGAGACACTACATACTGATATACACCTGAACATCAGCAGGAGAGGACTCTTTAAAGTAGAGACACTACATACTGATATACACCTGAACATCAGCAGGAGAGGACTCTTTAAAGTAGAGACACTACATACTGATATGAACCTGAAAAGGAGCACAATAGAGCCCCTTCAGATAAGTAATGAAATACAGGAAAGAAAAACTCCTCTTCTGCCGATTTAACCAATTTGTTTTCATTCCCTTGGATAACATTTGGTACTCATAAGCACAGAAACACAGGAACACACAGATAATGCTGCAGGCGGTTTCCATGAAGAACTCTGTGTAAGCTTTAAATTCACATCGTGGAGGAATGCACGTCCTCAGGAGTTGTTGTTCATCTCCACATAAACTGGAAGCATTTGTCAAATATCACGACTGTTTGAGTCCGGATATTAGATCCAACTTGTTGTGGATAATGGATTAAAACTTAACCCGCAGTGACCAGACTATTGTGTCCACATATTTTAGAGTTTAATTAAGTTTTCTCGTTAGGAGAGAAACTAAAAGCAGCTAAAACGTCTCAATGCTGCAGTAATTATCTCAGTTTCCTAATAGTGGGAACAGGCTGCTCTGGTTGTTCAACAGATTGTCTCGTAGCCTCAGGGTCACATGTAGCTTCCCCTTCAACAGGCTGTCAGTGTTAAGAGCCCATTACACTTTCCACCTCCCATTTCTTCCCAAAAAAAGAAACAAATCTGCTACCAGCTGCTTCTTGACTTCTGACAAATGTATACTCGTGCAAATCTCAGATGCGGAAAGCAGACATTGTGGTATGTGCAGTTGTAAAAGAAGCAGTCGTTTTAAGATTCATAACACAACTAGCCTTACATGAAACCTCAAAAGCTGTTTTTTTACATATTTAAACATTAGCTGTCAACTTTTTAATTATTCGCCAACTTTCTTGATGATAAATGTATCTGTTTGAGAGATGTATTAAATGGTAGAACATCTCTGATTACAGCTTGTTGAATAGAAATATATTCTCTTTTTTTTACTTTTCTAGACTCAACATGAGTTGTGAATTTGCCCACATTACTCGTATATAACTTTGAAACTTCAACCGTTTATTTTTATTACTCACAATCCTCAAAGTAAAAGGTTATAAAAATGATCTTGTGAAAACTTTCCATGGTTGTAAAATCCTTCTTTTAAATATGATAAACCTCTGTGCAGTGTTGGTGTATCTGATACGCCTTCAAACTGATCTGAAACTGGATAGCATTTCATCTGGAGAGTCACCCAAAGCAACTCAGCCCTTTGAATGTCTTTAAGCGCAGAATTCGCTCTGAATAACTTTCCAAGAAGCATATTTTGATGTGCACAGTGCTTGAAGTTGTATTTGTATTATTGTAACAGCAGAGCTACAAATAAAAACACAAGTTGCCAACATCATTTTGCATGGTTTTACATAAGAATCTACATCTTTCGCTGTTCACACACACTGAGATGAGTCTCTGGTGTCTTCACTTTTTAACTTTAAACACTGCAGCATCGACCAGAGGGCATCAACTAACTGCTGACTAAAGCAGTGTAGAGATAACGATAGCAGAAGGCTTTTTTTTTATCGTACTGTACGCCTCTCTCTCCCCCCCTCTCCCCACTGGACTTTAACACCACACACACACACACACACACACACACACACACACACACACACACACACACACACACACACAGACACACACACACACACACACACACACACACACACACACACACACACACACACACACTCAGACACTGAAATCCAGCACCAGACACTTTTTATGCTGCTATGGACAATCTTGCTCTAATGTACATTCCCAAAGATATTGAAGTGACTGTTGTTTTGTATATATTGATTGTTTTGCTTTTATTCATGTCTTAATGTGTGCATAATGTGTCTGTTGATTGTGTATAGGTTTATACATATTTTATACATATTTCTATATATATTTGTTTTTTTGTATTTGGGGTTGTGGGATACGGTATTTTGATCTGTACACCAGTGTTAATTTTGGCAGCTATTTTAGATTTAGTCTTTACACGAAAATGGTTATTAGTTTTAGTCACATTTTAGTCCTTTTTATCCTTCGTAGTTTTAGTCTAGTTTTAGTCGACGACAACTCAAAACGTTTTAGTCCAGTTTTAAAATGGTTACATTTTGGTCAACCTTTAGTCAAAATGTTTTCTCTCTTTAAACTAATTCAGTTTGGCAAATACAGCTATCTGAAACTGGAATCAAGGTGACAGTATCAAGTGTTGTTAAAGCAACATTTCACTCTCTCAACACTTGTGTGAGTGACGTGTGCACTAATTCAACCAATGAAAGGGATGCATTTTGACAGACAAGACGGACAATTGGGGGAAAATATCCTGCATTTTGAATGTCCGATAGTCCACCATTAACACCTTAGTCCCGTCTCGCCAACGAAAACTAAATATACATTTCGTCAAAATCTATTTTTAGCTCATCATCGTCTCGTCTTAGTCATGTAAAAAAGGTCGTTGACGAAAACGTTTTTTTTCGTCATAGTTTTCGTTGACGAAATTAACACAGCTGTACACACAAACTGAAAGATTGACAATAAAGTTGACTATGACTTGACTTTTAAACGTTTCTTATCTCCCTGTGTCCCTCTGTACAGACTACCCGTGTTCTGGGATGTTGGGCATGGTGTCCGGTCAGATCTCAGACGCTCAGATCAGCGCCTCGTCGTTCGCAGACCGCGGCTGGGTGGCTGAAAACGCTCGTCTGCTGACGGGGAGATCGGGCTGGACCGGGCAGCAAACCAAGCAGCCCTTCAGGAACGAGTGGCTGCAGGTGGGGCTGGAAACTGAGCTTTTGGTGTTAAATAACGGGGAATAGGGGCGTCTATGGGCATGCAGATGACAGAAAACAAGAGTCAAACCCCTCCACTGACTGTTGGTACTTGAAATATTCTAATTGAGTAGATCATTGTATCGAGTTCTGCAGGAATTAGTCCTAAAACCCGGAAATAGTGAGTTCCCACTTCCGGTTCCCTTGTCTTTGGGTCATTGGTTTTGTAACGTGCTTTTGGTTAGAGGCCTGAAACAAGGTCTGTGGTTAACACAAGAGAAGAGATATTACATATTGTTCTATAACGTAAAATAGATCAGTAAATACGCCACTTGTGAATCTCCAGAGCCTCAATGTGTCATAAAAAAGCGGTTGCTAACAAGTGTTTGAATGAGACTACTAAAATGTCTTTGCGCTAACGTTAGCAGCCTTTAGCTTAGCGGTGCTGATGTGACTGTCATGTGGCTCGTTTATAGCCTAACATTAATACTTAACTTCTAGTAAATGAAAATCATAAAAACTGTTTTAATAAGTAGAGATCATCCTGTTGAACAACACGTGCATTTATCATAAAAGGCATACAAAAATACATTATCACCGCACCACTCTATAGCAGGTTAAAGAAGATTGTGTATGTTCACTTCACTCATCCAAAGTTAGTGTGATGAAGGGCTGACAGACAGTTCATATTTTTATATATTTTTATTTTTTATTATGTGTTTCCCTGCTACAAAAGGGGAATAAATAACCAGAAAAAATGATCAGAAAATAATCTGTGTTCACCATATTCCATGCATCCCTACTATACCCTTTGGATGTTTTATGGTGTCATGGGATTTTGTTAAATATCTACTGCAGGAAACGATTTAGTTAACCAAAAAAGACAAACGGTGTACCGTACACTCATTGATCAATCTGCCAGTTAAACAAACCATTCTTCCCCTTTCTCCTCCCTCCTCCCCTCCAGGTGGATCTGGGTCAGGACAAGATGGTGAGCGGCGTGGTGATCCAGGGAGGGAAGCACCGCGACAGGAACGTCTTCATGAAGAGGTTCAGGGTCGGACACAGCCTGGACGGAGAGGGGTGGACAATCGTCAAGGAGGACAACACCACCAAGCCCAAGGTACGATCACCTATTATGCAAAATCCACTTCTTCATGTCTCTTCTACATCAACATGTGTCCCCTCTTCTTCATGTCTCTTCTACATCAACATGTGTCCCCTCTTCTTCATGTCTCTTCTACATCAACATGTGTCCCCTCTGTGGAAAGAGACTCTGAAAGTTTCAGGAACAAAGATTGACTCTCTTTTTGTCCTGATCCATTTCTATAAAAACCTGTCTGGAAAATGAGCTGATCAGATTTTGGCCACTTTGTGATGTCATAACGATGTGTTGGCTTGTGTAACCATTAGCCAATCAGCAACCAATGTAACCCCCCCCCTTATCACCTGAATCTCCTCCTAGAGCACCATTGAGTTCTTTGTAACCAAATCTCTCTCAGAGGGGCGCTCCTTATTTTACGGACCACCAGTGGCCGCGGACCACACTTTGAGAAGCACTGATCTAAAGTAACAGACAGAGAATCAGCACTTTTGAAACAGGGCTGAAACAGAGGGGATTATGGGTAATGCTGCAATGATCTGTTTGGTGTCTGGAGCCAAACACTTCAGAGACTTGTTTTGTATATATCTGAGACCTGTAATATATTGATGACAAACAGTATAATAGGGGACCTTTAATGTGCACAGGTAGTTCCACTGCTACAATTACGCAGAAAGCATTTCAAAAAACGTTTAAATGTTCCTTTAATTACAATTTGTTGCAAAGTATGCGTGTATCTGTACGAGTGATCTCTTCTGTAAACTTGTCTTGTGGTTGTGCTGCAAACCAATTTCCCCACAGGGACCAATACAGTATATATACACATGTATTCTCCCAAGAGACAATCAGTCATGGGTATAAGATAAGATGAGGTAAGATAAGACTTTATCGATCCCTGGAGGGAAAATATGTTGGTGTTTCAGCAGCATAAGGGCAGAAATAAGTACGGATAAATAAGGATAATAATAAATAAAAATAAAAATAATATATATATAATGTTTTAGTTAATCGATAAGGAACTTAAGGTGCACTCAATAAATAGGTACAGATGAATAGGAATACTACGATCAATGTTAACTTGCTTATTTGTCACAACCACATCAACACAGCCACATTATCAATGAACTGAAATACAGAAAAATTGTGAGCCAATGTTTGCGTAAAAATACTAATTGTTCTCCCCATCAGATGTTCAAAAGGCTCAGATCTAAGAATAGAGTTAAGGAGTTTATAAAGTTTTCAAAGAAGCAAAATAAATAGTATAATAACAGTACAGTACACATGCAACAATTAAACCACTGTGTTAAGAGTTAGCGATTGTTCCCATAAGGACTGAAATCTGGGTGTTTTCTTTCAAATTCTGCCTTTTGGACACAAATTCACATCCGAGCTTCACCCATAATGCAACACTGCGCCTGCGATGCTTCAGGAAAAAGCAAAGCTCAGCACTTCAGACAGCGGGGGGGTTTTGGTGTTTGGTGTCTCACCACTCGACCATTTTCATTTGCGCCGCTTCCACATATGAAAGGATCCCACTCTGTCTCTGTTTCCCTACTTTTGTATTATGTTTTCAGACTTTTGACGTGGCGTGGGGAGGGGCTCCTTATTTTCATCTCAAGTAACAGACAGAGAATCAGCACTTTGGAAACAGGGCTGAAACAGAGGGGATTATGGGTAATGCTGCAGTATGATAGGAGACCTTTACGTTTTTCATTGCCATATCTACACTGTAATGTGCACATGACAATAAAGCCTTGAAACTTGAATCTTGAAAGTAAAGTACAATCAATCCCTGACATCTCTCTCTCTCTCTCTCTCTCTCTCTCTCTATCTCATTGCTCAGATTTTCCTGGGGAATCAGAACCAAGACACCCCCGAGCTGCGGTCCACAGGCTCCCTGCTGACCCGCTTCATCCGGATCTACCCGGAGAGAGCCACCTCCGAGGGGCTGGGCCTCCGTCTGGAGCTGCTGGGCTGCGAGCTGGACGGTGAGTCGCTGTCACCAAAAGAGACAGGATTTACTGTGGACAAAAAAAGACCCCAAAAAATGCTTGCAGCCAACACTTCTTCTGGTTAAAAATCAACGGATCGTTATGCTATTTAAAATACAGCATTGTAAGATTTATCTCCTGAAGAATATAAAGTTTGAGGACATTTAAGGAACTTGTTGCCCCCCAGGGCAACAAGGTGCAGTGATATTACAGGGAGGTTGATATTAAAGCAGAACTGTGGTTTCTAGCTTAGGAACAGTTCCTCTCAGCTTTACAAACGGAAACAAAAGACGTGCAGAAATTCAGCTGAAATACAGGAAGTAACAAAGTTAGTCCGGAAATCAATCCGTCTCCAGGTTGGACTGAGCATCCGTACTCTAATCTGGAGAAAAGCTTAGGCAAAATCTAATGTAAGATTAACAGTAGGGTGGATTTCCATGCACAGACTTTTGTGTGCTGCCCCTTGAAGGTATAGTTAGCAGATAATGGAGGTTTAAACATGACATTTTTTGTAGGAAAACATTAGAAGGAAATGTATTTGCATGAATGTGTTCTCCGTCATTAAATAGTCATTAAACTGTGAACTGCTTACACTACAGGCTGCTTATCTGCACTGTTTGCTGTAATGAGAGAGAAATGGCTGACGCACGCCGTGGCAGGCTGCTATCTGTCCTGCAGCAGTGGTCAGAGCTGTGTGTGTGTGTGTGTGTGTGTGTGTGTGTGTGTGTGTGTGTGTGTGTGTGTGTGTGTGTA